AGGCCCTTAACCGTCCGAGTTCCATTGAAAAAAGTATATCAACCAAAAGTATATATCCTAAGCTTGAAGTAAAAAAAAAAATCGAACATCTGAGAGACAGTTTTTTAGAGAATTCAGTTTGAACATTGAAAGGCGAAAAAATCGTAAATTTTAAAAAACCCTAAATTACGGCCATTAGAATAATTTTTAGCTTAATTTCGATGGCATACTTAGAATGTACATGAAAAATTGGTCTAGAAACATTCTTACAAAGTATGATGCATTGATACAGAGTCTCGCTATGGAGAGTCAAAGAGAAGGAGGTCAAGAAAATGAGAATCGCTAAAACGGGCGTTTTTGAATACCGCTAAAATTCACCCCATCTTTGGGGGTCGATATCTCGCGAACGGGGCGTCAGATGGGAAAACCCTTCAAATCAGTTTCTTGTTGTAATAGAATGAGGCCATATCACTTACGTTTCTAGGGCCGCATTCTATTATGCTCTCCAGCTCCTTCAGCCCGAAAGCCATCGCTTTCGGAGCGCAAGCTCGCGCGTGCATTTCAGCGACCTCAGAGTATCTACCTTGGAGCATTGGTCATCGCAATGACATCTTCGGACGTCATCGCTCTTCCGGATGATACCGAGATATATACTCTGAGGGGCCCGCGGCGCGTGGTCGTACCTTCGAGGCAGCGAGTCTAGTGTACCTAGTGATAGCGCTTTGTGGTTCCGATTATACCGATCAGCTTTAGATTATATCAGCTCTACCATTTCGAGTTACGTGTTTGGGTCATTTTATCCCCCCCCCCCCCCCAANTAAAACATTATAATGATGTAAAGACCCCGTATACTAATTTTCAGCCAAATCGGACGGGGTCGGGTTCCGAGCCTGGCACAGTTGACGTCGAATGACCCAAATGTAAGGGATGAAATTTTCTTTTCTTCATGGTTTTGCCAGCTCCAACAGGGTTCATCGCAAATTCTTTTAAGGGCCTTCAGTGACGTCAAATAGCTCAACAAATTTTATGGCAACGATTTCATTGGATGATTTTTTTAAATTAAAATAAATTAATTTCAAAGTTAAAACTGAAGAACAGAAAAATTTCGAAAAATCTCAAGGGCTGGGGTGACAAAAATTTCTTGGAACTCCGCTTTCTTAAGCTTTATTACCCAATTTCTCATGTGTAATTTGTTACTTGATCAATTCGGATAGTTTTCAGGTCCCAGGCTCCCTGGTTTTTCTTCAAAACATTTTGCTACTTGCGTTTCACAGCTGGTATTTCAACAGCTTAAAGCGTAAAAAATGCTTCCTGAAAAAATTTCTTCGAACTTTTTTTGCTGCTTCAATACATCTTTTTTCAGTGCCTTAGTTTGTTTAAGGGGCTTGGAGGACAAGGCGCGTAAGTGCAGCTTTTGAAAAAAAATGAGACATTAATGATTTCAAGTGAAACTATATGTAGTTTGAATACATATTCTATGAAAAATTCGCTCCTAAATTCCATTTTTTAAGCATCAGAGTCAGTTTTAACTTTCTTTCCGCCCAAAGGATACATGTAATTTCGAAACTTCTAAGACGTATTTCTGGAAATAGCAAAAACTGCTCATATGCGCCTTGTCTTCCAAGCCCCCCATTTAAGAGATATCTCACAAATTTGAACACATCTCCGGTTTTCAGTAATTTCCGGAACATTCCGAATTTTTATTTAAGAAAAAAAATCTTATTTTTCCATGAGAGTCTGTGTTTTTTCTTGCTCCTGCTCGATGTGCCACACTTGTTCTTGAGGAGATTGAGAACGCTGACATCTCAATATTCATTCAGTACAGGTGTACTTTTTCCAATTTTTTGTGAGCCCCCTATTAGTTTGAAAAACTAAACCTAAGACCTCAGTAGACATCGGTGCGCTTCAAGTCCCGTTTCAATAGATTGCTATTTGCTCATATTTTTCAACTCTTCAACGCCAACAGCATAAACTGAGCTTTTACAGTTACTATCTCACTTCACGCTTACATTTTTCTATTCATGTCTAAGTAGGGACTTTAATAATCCATGTATCACATTGAAGTGGACAATTGAGGACACCGAGGCTCGTTATCTCATATGAATTTTAACATACCCTGAAGCCCAGGGTATTTTTGCTTCTTTTTTTTCAGCGACAGTGTTAAACTTCCAATCGAACTTTAGGATTTTTCTCAAACTTTGACAAGACTCTGTCTAAATGCCGTGATGATATTTCAATAAGTCACCGTTTCATGCTTGTTACGTATGTCTTCACTCCGTTTGCCATTAAGATACACATGTCTACACAGAAACCCTTGACTATGGTAACATGAAAAAACAAACGTTTTTTCCACCTTTTTTTTCATGTTTGTCATAAAGTCTTCATGGAAAGCAAAAGAAAGTGTCAAATTGAGATATCTGCACCGCTTTTAGTACAAGTTTAAGAAAAATTTTACACATAATCCAAATCTTTGATTAGGAACACTGCATTTTCGCTGATTTAAAAGTCGTGAAAAAGGACTGGGCTACAAGTTGTGTGTGAGTTCATAGAAAATTACGAGCCCCGGTCCTCTCTATTGCCCGCATCAATGCGACCGTGAAAGGTATCATTCAGGCAGTCAAGTTCCCGATTGGGACAGCGCGGTTGCCATCGACAGGTTTTAATCTCGAATTATATAGTTTAAATATTTATCGGGAAATATGCACTGACTCATATGGATGTAAACTTCCTTCAATCCTTGAATGAAATTTTGCCTGCCAAAAAATTGAACACACTGATTTTTATAGTCCATCTAACGAAGCTTGAAACTTTTTATTCGGCATAAAATCCGTAAATGGCAACGCATCAATTTCCGCAGCTAAGGCCGGATCTAGGTTTCAAGTAGTGGGTGCAAGCCTAGGTTTTGCCCCCCCCCCCCCCCCCNGGCAGGGGGTCTGGAATATGCCTCAGGTCAGGAGAGGGGGGGGGGTTCCGGGGCCCCCAGGTAAATTTTGAAAATTAGAGCGTATCAGACGGCCGTTTCCCGCAGTTTTTGACAAAAATTGATCATTTAGAGTATAATTTTTGAGGTCTCAAAGAGCGGTGTTGATGCTTGTAAGAATACTTGAAGTGTGATTTCTCAATACTTTTTTGATGTGTACTTTTTAATAAGCGCTGACAGATACGTACTTACACTTTGCATTTTATAACTGGTATGAATATTGACAGGGGCGTAGCTAGGAAATTTCTCTGGGAAGGGCCATGGGACCACCTTTCGTGGTGAGGAGAGCGGGGGGAGGGGGTGAGGAATGGAGGATCCCGTTATTCTGGGGGGGCCACGAGATTTCTGGGGGGGGAGGCCCCCCCAAGACCCCCCTAGCTACGCCCATGAATATTGAGCATACGAAAGTTTAGATTGAAACTCCAGTGAATGACGGAGGTGAGTATAATTTTTGTGATTTTGAGAAAGAGGAGTTAAATGTTGACAAATGAGGTCTTATCAGTGGTGCCCACCCCTCCCACAATGTGGGGCAACTTTACTCATTCAGCGGGGGACTGGAGGGCCTCCCTGGAAAGAAATTTTATGATCTTAATAACACAATTCTAGGCACTTTAGGTGTCTAATATAGACTCTATTTTTTCACCCTGTTTTAAGGATACAATGTACACAGCCTAAAATGAGAAACTTTAGAATCATATGATATTAAAGGTAATGATAGATTTTTCTTGAGAGAAGGGAGGACAATTTTTGTCCCACAGGGAGACATTTTCTTGTGGGGGAGGAGGAAATTTAACTGGGGGGGGAGGATTCTCTTAGAGAGTAGGAAACATTTCGGGGAGAAGAGAATATTTCCTCTCGTTCAGGCAAACCATACCGGGAAAAGTTACGAACAATCGACAAAATCGCACTATGATGTGGTCACTTTGAAGGGGGGAGAGGGGGATTTGGTGAGGTAAATGTTGTTATTTTTCTCAAAAAGGACGTTTAAAAGTGTGTTTTTTAAGAAACTTTCAAAATCATAGCAATATCTTAAAGGTACAGAAAAAAAAACACACCAAGCGGGGAGATTGTTGTGAAAAAATTGGCAAAATCGCAGAGAAAAGGGCTTTTTTAAATGGGCCACGCAAATTGGGTTACTTTTCTCGAAAACGGCTCTAAAAAGTGTGTTACTTTCAAAAGTTTTAAAGCCGTAGCAACATTTTACAGGGGAGAAAAAATTCGCGAAATGACAGAAAAATGCGCTTTTGCGCGCCACGCTCGGAACTTTAGGCTCTATGAGGAGCGTCTTAAAATTGTTTCCCCAATTATTATTTTTTTCCTGTTATTTCCTCTTCAATTGGAACCATTTGCCGGGTTCGGCACTTCAAAGTTCCGAAAAATCAAAAATAATGTCCACCCTACCCTTCATCCCTTCTTGAAGAGCTCAAATACCCGGTCCGAAATTCGTTTGCCGTTGAAAAATGTATCTTTTATCGCGAACATTTAGTTCAAGGGCGAAATTATGATAAAAACGCACTAAAATTCCGCCCAATCACCTTTATTTTAAGCTGATGTACAGCATTTTGCAGCATATTGCAGTGGGTCTCATGTAAATGTCGTGCATCAGCTGAAAATTAGGATAATTCATCCTCCTCTGAATGATGCTGTTTGCCTTGAGAGCTGAAAGGCGGGCATCGCAAGTGAGGCAGCATCATGTGACGATGCCGGGTATTGGCATCACTATCTAAGCTGGCTCGCAGGAGAATGCAATCCCCCGGCGCACTGTCCGATGCGGCATCAGTGTCCACGCTGGATACCTACCTCGCACGGCGATGCCGCTCCGTGTATGAAGCTGCCTCAAACCTCAGCTCTAAAAGCGTGGTGCTACCCTCTTTACTCAGTGTTTTACTGGTGATGAAGTGGTGATAGCCAAGGTGGACAAGTCTCAGATAGGACTCTTTTGAAGGTTTTCAACTTAGGTCTGGTATCAGGGGAGATTGCAATAGAGTATTCGCATTTGAAAACTACACTAAAAAGAAAAATCACAGGAGCTGAAACTTACACCTGCTCTTAAAAGTCCCCACACATAGTCAATTGCACAAATTGTGCCTGTCCTTCCACAGCCAGCAGAGCAATGAATAAGCACTGGTAGGGTTTCTGATGCTTGGGTGTCTCGAACTAATCGCACCATGTCGAGAAGAGGTTTCACTAAAGGTGGAACTCCATGATCAGGCCATGCACAATAGTGGAACTGACAAACAGTTCTTTCCTCTGAAAAACCAAGACTTGATGAACAAAAGTAGATTCAGTGAATTTATATAAATTAGTCCTATCACTTTATTACTGAAAATAATCAAGATGAAACTTTCTCTGAAGTTTTACTTGACTTAATGAAACTAAGTTTAAACTTGATTTTGGTCTCATTCAAGCCTGATGGCCTGGAAATCACTCTTTTTGGAAATTATAAGCAGGTGGTACTCAGAAGTTGCCTTTCGACATGAAACTGAAGTGTCCAAAAGCATTCCGCTCAAAAACTAATTTCTTTGCTCCCAAATAAACCTTGAAAACAATGGGCTAGCAGCCTCTTAATGAAAGGTCTCTGAGTTAACCATTTTTTCTAAAATTGAGCTCTAATTTTCAATAATGTACCCTTAAATTGTGAAAACTTCTCATTCCCTCAAATTTTGTGAAAAGATTAACTTCCTCCATTTTTATCTACCATTTGCCATGTTCCTGCACCCATTGACATTATTATTATCCACAGTTTTTCTCACTTTTTGTGGTGTAGAAGTATGTTATTAGGAAGCGGTCAGGATATACCGTTTGTTCTTTATCATTTTATTTTCCTTCCTTATTTAACCAAATTACTCTTTTTACTTTTTGGCTATATTTATGAGGTCTGTCCGGAAAGTGTCCGACCTTGTTGATTATCTCGCCATAAACGGCTGATAAGGGGTATCAAGAGGTATAAGAGGTCTTCTTGAGAGGTAAGAAGTTAATAAGAGGGTGCTTGGGATTATCTTTGCAGGGACTCTCCCGGGTGCTGGTGCTAGGGATGTCGATACTTATCCAATACTTGCAAAGTATCGATACTTTCAATCGATACTTAACGATACTCGGCATTGATACTCCACGATATCGATACCATGCAGTATCGATGCCAAGACCCCAGTATCGACGGTATCGATACTTAATCTGATTTGGCCATGAAGAAGGCCTCTTTTTCTTTTTTAAAAAAATCTCTCCCCGCTATTTCACCTTCATGATGCACTGTGACAAACGACGGAGTAATCAAGTTTCTCAAGATGATTATACTTCAATAAAAATGGTAAAAGCTCAGTTCGATAACTGTAGTTAAGGGCTCAAAATAGTTGACTAAGGACGCGAACAGGGCTTTTTCGAGAGAGGCGTAAATCTGGCGGAATTTAACGGCCGACAGACATATGCACACTCAGAATCACGGCATAATTCAGAAATAGTATCGATGGTATCGATACCTCAAAAGTATCGATACTTCAGCTCGATGATCGATACTGGTATCGATGCTTAGAGTCGATACCAGTATCGATACTTCCCTGAGTATCGACATCCCTAGCTGGTGCATAGCCGGATTATCACACGTTGACATAGTCGTTGGTAATTTGCTGATTAGTGCGTGCTTTACTGCTGTGATCGTCGGATTTCGTTTTTCCTAAAAAAGAAGACGTTAAGGAGAGAGGGGTGGGAAGAGTTTGTGAAAAGATCATCACAGGGGACGCGTCTTGGGTTTGCGGGTACGACCCTGAGACAAAAGTGCAATCGTCAGTTTGGATCGCACCTGGGAGACCTTACCCGTAGAAAGCTCGGAAGAGTTGCAGCAATATGAAGACAATGTTCTTCGATCATGAAGGTGTCTTCCATCATGAATACGCTCCCCAAAACTCTACTATCAGTAAAGAGAGCTACCAAGAAACTTTACATAGCTTAAGGGGCCTTGGGGAGCGTATTCATGATGGACAATACCTTTATGATCGAAGAAGACAGTCAACATTGTCTTCATATTGCTGCGACTTTCCGAGCTTTCTACGGGCGAGGTCTCCCAGGTGCGATCCAGACTGACGATTGCACTTTTGTCTCAGGGTCGTACCCGTAGACCCAAGACGCGTCCCCTGTGATGATCTTTTCACAAACTCTGCCCACCCCTCTCTCCTTAACTTTTTCTTTTTTAGGAAAAACGAAATCCGACGATCACAGCAGTATAGCACGCACTAATCAGCAAATTACCAACGACTGTGTCAACGTGTGATAATCTGGCTGTGCACCAGCACCCAGGAGAGTTCCTGCAAAGATAATCCCAGGCCCCAACCTTTTATTAACCGTTGATGGCGAGATAATCAACAAGGTTGGATACTTTCCGGACAGACCTCGTACTGTCATACTTTATTACTGAATGCTACTTTTTTAATGATATTGTTAATATTTCAGAGACAAAAAATTCCTGATCATATGACATGTTAGGAAGTATTTGCTGTTGACAGCTTTTTGCATTTTATGTATCTTGTTTTGAGATCCTGAGCTCATCTAGTGCATTATTCAGCTGTTTGGAGGTAATACCCGTGGAGGAGATTATGGTTGGCACTTTTAAAAATGTATTCATCTTTCACAAATCATTCACCTAATTTGCTGGATCTGTATGCTTCACTACCTTTTCTTGTCAGGTTTTTTGGATGTTATTATCACTGAGAATCACGATATCAATTAGATACACTACTCTTTTCTTGTCTGTCAACTAATGTTAAAACTGGCCGACTTGGATGTTCTTTTTGTCAGTAGTAATCCTCAGTCATTTGGCTGTGATTCTAATGTGCTACAGACTAATTCAATCGGATCATTCACTCAAGACATACTGAAAAAGCAAAATGAATAATAAGTCTCACATAAAAAGCACCTTAAGGCAGCAAATATTATAGGGATCGCACAAAAGATTAAATGATTTTTATACCATGTTGAGACTGTGGATTTGTATACGTAAGCTTCATGGTCCGGACAGAGAAATCATGGCAAATAGTGCTTGCTTTCAAAAGCTTAATTGTCACCATTCCATACTGCTTCTCTTCAGAGTCATTTTCAACCCAGTAGTTTTCACATTTGTGCTGCTTTGACAAAAAGAAAAAGTCGAGGTTGAGTGGTTTTGTATCACAGAATATTAGTGAATAAAAAAAGCTTGTATTTTAAGAGGTATACAGGGTGGTACCTCTGTCTAAGAAAGATTAACAACTTTAAAAAGTAACATTTAAAAAACCGGAAAAGAAAAAAGAAGAGATGAAAAGAAACAGTAAGCGTACAGATAGTTCTAAATCTTTGATGACCACACAATTCGGGGNGGGGGGGGGGGGGAACAAGAGCAATCTTAAGAAAGTACAATAGAGAGTTTGAAATTTGAGATGATACCTGTGTTCAAAATGCCACACCAAGAAAAAATGAGGAGAAAAATGCTATTACATATGATCTTAAATTTAACAAAGTTTGAATAGAGTGGAGTAATAAAGGATTGAATAATGCTGGAGCTTTTGTTCTTGAATAATAACAATGCTCCTTCCAAATGTTACTGAAAGGGTGATACCTTGCCAGATTCCTCTTCATTGCAAGCCATTATGATAACTTGAACCTCACACTGAACAACCATGCGCCAAAAGTCATTGACAGTGTTCGGCAGAGGCCCTTGAGAGGCAATGTAGGCCATAGAGCCACTAGCACCCTTAATATAGTTAGCATTGATGTAATCACTTCCAGGAATGCCGGCATATTCAGATAAAATGACGCGGGTAATGTTGACTGAAACAAAAGTTGAAACACTTTCCTGAACAACCAATGTTTAAATGTTAAAAACTTTGACTTTAAATTGCAAGAAAGTTTTTGTCTTCTTTTTCTTTCCTTACAGAGGATATAAAGGTGTGTATAAATGCTTCATTTTGGAATTCATTTATTATCTTAAAGAAAATATATAAACAACAATAAGTATTTTGTTGGCTCTGTTAAGGTAAAGCCAAAATTCTGTTTTGATGTCACTATAAACTAAGGGTAATATGTTTAGGCTGCATAACAGTCTCACAGTAAGTCTCTACACTTAATTAAGTGTCGATGGGTAGGTCTCGAAAAGTTCACTGGTAACATTGTAAAAAAAAACTAACTTTGGTATATAAAAAAAACCGACGCTACACTTCGCTCAGTTCCGGTTTTTGGTGGGTGGGAGCAAAGCCCCCCCCCCCCCCCAAGACGCCCGCTTTGCGCGCATCTTTTCAGTTGTTTCTTCCTTTCTTTAAGTTACTTGCGCATCCACCGCGGGGAGGCAAGTGTATTTCCCAAATTGGGAGCAGGAGTCTTGGAATTTACCGATTTTTTAGATTTTTTACAGCCATTTTTTTTCGAATTTTGAAAATAGTTGTCAAATGGGTGAGATTTTGTTCAAAGACAGATCTCTTACCCTGACCCACTGTGTGACGAAAATTTTTTCCAAAATCTTCCTTCCCCTGACCCACTGTACACGAACAGTTTTTCCAAAAACTGTTTCCCCCTGGGCCACTGTGCGGCTCCCCGCATGCCGCGCAGCCGCCTCGCCTTAAAATTTCAAAGCTCGCCGTTTTTAAATGGCTAAGCCGGTTTTACTTAAATTCAATACCAAATCAGTTCAAGGGAAAAACTAAAACCCATAAAAATTTCAGCTCAATATATTCATTTTAATTCGAGTTATCGAGTGGACAAGATTTTTACCTCCCCCCATTTTTGAGCCCCAGCTTTCAAAATCTATTACCTCAAACATCAATTTTTTTTGGCAGAATAGTAGCTCTAATGAGTCTCTACAAAATACAAAAAAATTGGTCAAAATATCTTGCAATTTAAGAAAAATATAACAGCTCAAAAATCGAAAAATCTTAAAAAGGCGGAAATTAATACAAATACAATACATACATACATACAAACAAACATATACGTACAAGTGCATACTGTTGCGCATTAGAGTTCAAAAAATTTAATTTTGACTCTAATTTTAATTTTTGGAATTTCTTGGCTTTGTTTCCCCCCGAAATGGTATGGATCCAGCACCATTTCTCCACCTTGTTACAAACAAACAAACATATATATATCTTCGGAATAGGGATGTTGAATATTTCAATAATCGGATATTCGATACATTGTCACCGAGATAATCGCATCACAATTGAATGTTGGTGGAAGTTTTTGAATAACCGATTAATATTCAAAAAGGTAAAACTGCGGTTTTCTATTACTTTTCCTCCTACAGTTTCATACATAAACAAAAGTTGAAAAAGTTACAAAGTTAAAAAATTCCCCTCTAGACCTACAGACCATTCAATACAGACCTGCATGCCCTAGAGTCTAAGTTACCACCAGAATGTTTAAAAAAAAGTCCATCGTGTAGAAAAACTTTCTCAAAAGTGCGAAAAATAGAGCCCTGTGCAAGCTTTGTTCCACCACCCTGTTATATTTGCGTAGCACCGTTACAAAAAAATCAAAAACTGATGCAATTATTGGAAAGATTTGAATATTCGCTTCAAAGTATTCGAAATTGCAAGATTCATTTTTTCAAATAATCCCAATAATTGCAATCGACAAATTTCGAATATTCGAAAAATTGCATTCGAATTCGATATTCGTCCATCCCTACTTCGGAAAATACACTAAAAACCTGGGAAAGGAGGGAGAGATAAATTCAACTTATTTATACGACTTACACGGAAGGATATCTTTGTAACGGTTCTTCTTCTTGTTCACACTCTTCTCACCTTCAGAACAGCTGTATTCCTCTTCATGTTTCAATGATTCGCTAAATAATTTGAGTTCCTACGGAAAAAAAAGGGGTGGTGAAAATAATAAAATTTTAGAGAAACTCTACTCGTAAAGAAAAGTAATCTAAAGTGATAGTAATGTAACAGGGTATGATGGCTTCAGCTTTTGTTTAACTGTAAGGACTGCTGCTTCCATCACATTGCTTCCTGACACGGTCGAAATGTCAACTAAACATAATACTTTTCTCAGAATATAACAAACCATTCATGAATATTCTATCTAGAATACTCCAAGACCATAAAACTCTGTTCTCCAGTTTATCATGGGGAACCTTCTCTGGAGTATAAGGTCTGCTGATCTGGATTACTTAGATCCATAGAGAAAATACAGAGAGTGGTGGCGAGCGGAGAAGTGTACTTTTCTAGGTCACACCTAAAAATGAAGCCGCCCTTCTGATAGGTCAATAGGATCGCAGGAAAGTCTTTGAAAGAGGTTGTTCCAAAAACGCCGATTTTGGCCCCCCCCTGGATTTGGCCCACACTTTGCTCAGATGTTGTACTAAGTGTCCCCGATGCTTGAGCAAAATTTCAGCCCCCTCGGATAATTAGGGGGCAGGGGGCAGGGGGGCAAAGTTGCAATTTTTTTAAAACTTTAAAAATTGATATCTCGCGAACGGTTTGAGTGTAAGTGTTGCGGTTTGCGCTAAAAAACGTCAAAAAATATTCTCTACAAGAATATTAATGCTGTTTGCAAGGTTGCGTAATTCATCGCGGCCATAAATCGATTTTTTCGATTTTGAAGGTTCGACTTTTTTTCGTTTTTCGTCTCTCCTCTCTTTGGAATCGTTGCTACGTGAATAAAAACCTATTGAGGTGATTCTCCATGAAATTCTGCATCTACCACACATTGTTTGATCTTGGGGAAACGATTCGTTCGTGAGTTATAGCGATTTTTCTGCGCGTTATCGGTTACGCGCGGGCGGCTTATCGGCGGCGCTCCATCCCGCGCGGGCAAGACAGAGGTTGTTTCACCGCTAGGGCCTTATATTCATGCTGTAGGCTGTAATTATCGATATTTTCTCCTCCCCCCACCCTTCCCCTGCAATACATATTTGTTTAATACTTCGTTATACAGAGTATCCCTGACCACCCGTAACAGGTCTTTTTCTCGGTTGGTTTAGGTAGTGCGAAGTGGGGGGCCGCGGGATTGAATAGGGAATTGACCCCAAGGAATCCGAATTTCATGGTCCCGATGCCCCCCTAGCCACCCTCGGGGGGTAAAAGGGGGAGGCACAATGTCTCCCGACTTTGGGGATCGTGACCCCCTCTTTAACTCACAAGGGGGCATGGGGGGTTTCGGGACCGTGAAATTCGGATTCCTTGGGGTCAATTCCCTATTTACTCCCGCGGCCCCCCCCCCTTCGTACTACCTAAACCGACCGAGAAAAAGACCTGTTACGGGTGGTCTGGGATACCCTGTATAACGAAGTATTAAACAAATATGTACTGCAGGGGAAGGGTGGGGGGAGGAGAAAATATCGATAATTACAGCCTACAGCATGAATATAAGGCCCTAGCGGTGAAACAACCTCTACCTTGCCCGCGCGGGATGGAGCGCCGCCGATAAGCCGCCCGCGCGTAACCGATAACGCGCAGAAAAATCGCTATAACTCACGAACGAATTGTTTCCCCTAGATCAAACAAAGTGTGGTAGATGCAGAATTTCATGGAAAATCACCTCAACAGGTTTTTATTCACGTAGCAACGATTCCAAAGAGAGGAGAGACGAAAAACGAAAAAAAGTCGAACCTTCAAAATCGAAAAAATCGATTTATGGCCGCGATAAATTACGCAACCTTACAAACAGCATTAATATTCTTGTAGAGAATATTTTTTGACGTTTTTTAGCGCAAACCGCAACACTTACACTCAAACCGTTCGCGAGATATCGATTTTTAAAGTTTTAAAAAAATTGCAACTTTGCCCCCCTACCCCCTCCCCCCTAATTATCCGAGGGGGCTGAAATTTTGTCCTAGCATCAGGGACACTTAGTACAACATCTGAGCAAAGTTTGGGCCAAATCCAGGGGGGGGGGGGGCCAAAATCGGCGTTTTTGGAACAACCTCTTTAAAAAGGAGCGGGAAAGGTTGTGAGGTTCCCACTTATTTTGGCTCTAAAAACTTGTAACTGTGACTTTTTTGGTTTCAATATGGTTTACTATCAATGTTCGGCTGTAACTGAAAGTAATTCGTAAGTGTTTTTTTTTTTTTTTTTTTTTTTTTTTTTTTTTTTTTTTTTTTTTTTTTTTTACCATTTTCAAATAGCTAATGGCTAATCCCACGCTTATACCCCAGCCCCAGGTGAGCAGTGCCTGAGTGACTGGGACCACATATAATAACAAATTTTATCTCAACTTGTCCCGTTTGAGGGTATAACCATGTTAAATTACGTGCTCGTGCTTCAAAAGAGCAGAAATTCAATAGTCATGGTGACTGATGTTCAATTATACGACTTTCAATGTTAGTTTGAGTGGTGATGTAGGTCTTTATACAGGTTCCATCATGAAATGTACTTTTTTTTGAACAGCGCGCCAGTCCGCGTACTTTTCTACGCCACAGCAAATCTTCAAGATGGCTGCCTGGCCACCACCCTCTGTATTTTATCTATGTCTTGGATCTGATTTCAGATCTTTAAAGGTTAGGTTACTTACGTTGTTTTAGACTAGGCACAATCAGTGAGGAACAGGCCCTGTATCTCCAGATTATGAGAGGGTTCCGATACGGAAAATTGGTCTGCCTTGATGACAATAGGTTCAGTTCCATAAGGACAGCTTAATAACAGCAAGATGGAGCCAAATTCCAACTTACACCCTACTCAATAGTAACATTTTTTATATAGATTAAGTGAACATTATCATGATTGTTGCTCACATAAAAATTTCCTCTTGCAAAGCTTCACCGCCTTACTCCTTGCTATGTACCTGGCATTGCATATTATTGACCGCATACATTGAAGAACTCACAGCACTGTGAATAATAGGATGTTCTCAACATTAAATGTTGCAGAATGACTGCTCAGTGCTCTAGTATAGTCATCATTATAAAATTGCTTCTCGGGGGCCCTTATGCCTGAGCTCCTTAGCACATGACAATTGAGCAGAATTTAATAGAACCTGTTTCAAATGACTTCCTTCTGTCCTGTACGCCCAGAACACAGAAAGAAGGAAAATTATCTGAGATCAGCTGACCTAATATTTGATGTCATCCCACAACCATCATGCCATTTCTCTGGTTGTAGAAAGATACAATCTATCTGGGTAAAGACAATTTCAAAGAGTAAATTCTGTTCATTTTTGAGCCATGTCCCAGAGAAATGTAAACTGACCAAGAAAGTCACCCGCAAGAAGTCAAGAACTCACACTAGGTACTGTTAAATGAATTGCAGGCATTGTTCCCACGGGTCAAAAATAATGGATTTGATCATCATCACTACCCAAATTTTTCTCTTTGGAAACCTTAATGTTGCAGGCACAACGTTGCCAGGCGGTTTTGTTGTAACAATAGTTGGCAGTAAGTATAAAAATTGGACCAAAGTCTCTAGCGGAAGTTTGACTAAACTAGTATTAGTATGTGAATAAGAACCAAGGTGTTGTGTTTAATATTTATTAATCACTGAGGTACCTTTGGGCTTAGACCATCTCCAGAGTAGAGTACCTGTTTAGCGAGAGTATAGACAGATGTGAAACTCCGAAAATTCATCAGGCCTTCACCGATGCCTCCGCGAATAAAGTTAGGGCCCAGACATGGGCGTTTCAAACGGTTTACCAGAGATTCCGTCTTGGCCCGGGAGGCTAGGGTTGACAAAAATCCTGCCGCGGATCATCAGTAAGCAAGAGCGTGTCACCGATGCGTCTCTTCTCTACTCTCAGTTCTTGTATGCTAAAGTGGAGAAAGAAAGAACTTTATTTGCTTCATCTACTGGCAAATTCGCCCCTTCCTTCAGCGGCCCGGGTAGCCCACACGGTAATGCGATTATCTCACATTCAGGTGATCCGCAGTTCGCGCCCCGCTGGAGGCAAGTTTTTAACACTTTGAACATATTTATAAATGCCGCGTAGGACATAAAATGATTATTTTTTCAAAAAATAAGAGTGAGGGTTGCATTTTGATTGAAACGGAATAATTGAAAAGGGCTCCTCTTGCTTCAGAGAATCTTCTGGATCCAAGGTCCAGGGTCCCTGTATAAGGGTATACAGGGGCCGTCCAATAAACTTGTTTTTTCTTGGAGGAAAAAGTAGACTCCAGACTTTGTTTAATGTAACAAAGTGTTCAGTTAACATCCTTTAGTATAAATTACGTAAGACCTTTTTCCCATTTTTAGACCCCCATACTTCTCCTTGTGCAGCACCGTTAGGCATCCCTTAACAACCCCCCCCCCTCTAAAAATTACGTGAGGCTCGACTGACTCCCCTTTTTTTTCAATTATCGTAGATCGAAGCATTACATTTCCCGTTAGAAAAAATGAAATTTTCAGGCCACAATTTTTATAAGTGAAACTAAATTTCTGGAGTAAGTTCACAGGAAAGATTCATGATATAATTAGTTTAATAAACAAAAATACAGAGCAAAATTGAAGATTTTTTTGGCCTTGGGAGTAAATAGTGAAAAGTATAAAGTTGACGTAAGGATAAAAGTCACTACTCATAATCCCACGGAGTACAGAAGTGGGAATCAAGAGAATTGATAGGGCATGGTTCGATCGGTCAGCAATCAGTGGTTTCCTGATTTCCTCTATTTCATCTTGAATTTTATTATCAACCTGACGAAACATGGATTTTTGCATTTTCTTGAAATATAGGCTAAAAAGCCGACATAAGGCTCAGCCGTGCCCTCTCCTCCCCCCTCGTAAGGCACCGAAAGGCTGTTATAGACCCCCCCCTTCCCCTAAGAGCCTTACGCAGTTTATGGACGGCCCCTTATTTGTATTTTTTGTATTCCTCATGGTCTTTATTACTCAGAATTCCTAATCATATAGATAATAGAATAGAAATCATGCAGATTTTCCTTTGAAAAAAAAAAGGGGGCGTTTAAGTTGGTTTGAGTTTGAAGGATTCCTGCTTAGCCCAAAAGGCGAGGGTTGACAAAAATCCTGCGGCGCGTGGGGAGTGCAGTGAGTCTGCTGAAAGGAAACATCGATGCTCCCGATTGCGCACCAGACAGTTTGCGATGGAAATTCGGCAGGATTTTTGTCAACCCTACCTTCCGAGCTCAAGGAAGGAATCTCTGCTGAACAGTCGACTCCCAGAAATGCGGCCAACCTATGAATTTCCAGGGTGTCTAAAAGATTTTCAGAATGAAATTCCCTGACAATTCCAGGTTTTCCATGACAAAAAATGACAAAATTCCCTGACTTTTTGAGTTTAGCCATACGATGAACTAGTTAGAAAATATTAAAAAAAAAACTATCCTTAGGAATGACCCCGTAAAGTCATATTCTGAATTACCATGGCGTTGGAAGGAGTTGAGTAATACTTTTGAAAGGAATGAGATCCTAAATACTCAAAATAAAGCTAACTCCAAAATGGTATACTCAGACTACAATTGACCTTCAAAATTTAATTTTTAAGCTCTATTACGCTCTCTTTGTGACATAAGGTAACAGCACCAGTACCCGGAATGGTACCAGTATCCGGAACGTCGCTCAGTTTTTCGTAAAAAATAAGCGGCAGGTACATCAGTGCAAAAAGGGCATCAGGTTTTCACAAATTACACTCAGAGGGCGCCACCTTGCAATAAGTGTGATGGTCGTGCGCTCCTTTTATTATCTGTACCATGCTTCTATAGTGACGTATTCACAGAGCGGTTCGTTCTGTGAATACGTCAGTATAGAAGCATGGTACAGATAATAAAAGGAGCGCACGACCATCACACTTATTGCAAGGTGGCGCCCTCTGAGTGTAATTTGTGAAAACCTGATGCCCTTTTTGCACTGATGTACCTGCCGCTTATTTTTTACGAAAAACTGAGCGACGTTCCGGATACTGGTACCATTCCGGGCACTGGTGCTGTTACCTTATTGCCCCGTATACTTTTGAAAATTCAAACTATAGTTCACCCTGGTGGTTTCATAAATATTGGCATATTACTTAGTGCCCTGAAAAAACAAGTCTCTTTATCTTAAAATATAAAACAAGAGTTGTAAATGAGCCTAACTTTCGTAGATTTTGCTAAAATCAAGAGGAAATACGAGTCTCTTCTCAATTTTAGATAAATTTACTTAATTCGGGTTTTTTTTTTTTTTTTTTTTTTAAAGGTCAATTAAATCAGTTGATTCCAGAACCTATTGTTGGTATTGAATTTGTCTTATACTCAACAAGCGTTGGCTTGTTAGAATATAATCCACCAATAATATTTCTACAAGGTGGATGCACCAATTGTGAACATGATGATTTAAGAACCAGAAAAATTTCATGCAAAATGCAGTTGACATTAAATATTTCTTTACTCAGTTAAAGAAAAACTAAAATTCTAGCACTTTCATTAAATTTCCTACCTTATTGAAAAAATTGATTAACCATCTGCTCAAAACTGGGGCACTTATTATCCTGTCATTATTTACTGTAATTTTCTGCTGTTAGCAAGTTAACTTCATTCAAGTCTATTTAGTCTATCTTGCCATTTGGCATGAATTAAGTAGATAAATTAAATAGGGCAGATCGATTCGATCTTTAAAGTTAGCGAACACACATTAGTGAACCTAGCGGCCGTGTTGCAAACTGGTTGAACAGAGCAGTTTACATTATCAGCCACGCGAGCGCGCGACTCCGCCAATTCGGCAGTGACGAGTAAAAATAGCCGCGAAATGTTCGAATTGCGAAAATTCCCTGACTTTCACCGGTTTTCGATTGAATTCCCTGACTTTTCCCAGTTCTCCAGTCAGTGATCAAATTCCCTGATTTTTCCCGGTTTTCCAGACCTGCAGACACCGTGATTTCAAATGTCCAGAGTGATTTACAAATACAATTGTTACGAATCGTTGTTTATAAAGCATGTGATTAGCTAACTTTTTGCATAATTTTACTTATTTTTCCGAAAGAACGCTCATTGATGTACATCCTTGGCCATCTTGGTTAGAATTGAAATCTGTAGGCTGGCAGTGAAATTTCGTGTGTTAGAAGTTGCTCAGAAGGATGGCTGCACTTTTGGGCCCTAAGCTCTCCATCAAGCAATCTGTCCATACTCTCGCTATAAAGGTACTCTACTTCAGAGTGCAAATTCTTTGGAACATAAATATATCACACTTCGTTCTAGACAAGTTTAACAACTTGTGTAAAACAAAGTGTGATATATTTACGTTCCAAAGAATTTGTACTACTCTGAAGATAGGTAAGCCGAAAGGTACCTCAGTGATTAATAAATATTAAACACAACACCTTGGTTCTTATTCACATACTAATAAAATGGTGTCGTTCAAATCAAGCCTTGTTAATTCGACTAAACGCTTATATATCTCATAACAAACAAGATACCAACATGTCAAGCAACAGCCAACAGGTGGTCAGGGTGCTTAATATTAATATTGACATCAAGAGAAAGTCTGAGATAAATCAGTGCGCAACGATGGTGTACGATAAATAATTCGAAGTGAATTCTAACCTGAAATTCCGATTCGTAGCTATCTTCAGAGTCATTCGGCTTCTCCAAATTTTCGATGTGATTGAGGAAATTTAGAAGAATATTTCGCAAAGGCGGTCTCTCTTGATTTTCTCTCATTGCAACCCATGCCTGAAGGTAGAATCAAGTAGACATTTTGGTTCTAATTACTCACTCTGACATCTTAATAACACTAGTCAGCAAGTATCCTGATATAATAATTAATATAAAATTATCAAAATAAATAATTATTCATGACCTAATTATCACCAACCGAAACAACCAAAGACATAAAGACGGAGCGCTCGTATCTAACAGCACGGGGAAAAAGTGAAGCTAGGTTCGGCTAGAGTCCCTTTCAAAGACATAAAGACGGAGCGGAGCGCTCGTATCTAAAAGCACGGGGAAAAAGTGAAGCTAGGTTCGGCGCTGCGCGCTTGTGTGAGTGTGTAAATGAACGCGGGAATCCATGGCGGCAAACGGAAATTTGATTTGAACTTGTCCTCTTGATTTTTGCACATTTCTTCTTTGAAACGTATTTTAAATTCCTAAAACGAATATACTAAGAAAGTTCGGTCTGCGTCCTAATATAATACACCTACTTTTGCTCGGTAACAGGCAGTAATCTCACATAAAGTTAGTTTTTCTTCTGCTCATGGTGGTTCTGCAGGTTCAAACAGGCCGTTACAGTTCTAGATCAACGTTACTCCCAAATGAAATTAATCGGTCGACGACGGACTGAAACTAACCTAAAGTTAAAAAAATATGAGTGTGTACCTGAATTTGGGCAAAAATCAACCTAAAATACTTCGTTTCCGCAATTTTATTTATTAGTTCCCGCCCTCTATTTGAATTCAAACTTGTCCCGATTTCGCCGCCAATCCTCTAGCCAATAGTAGAGGTGATTGAAAAGAAGCTCTAGAAGCTTCATTTTTTGCTTTTAGTGCTCCGTCTTTATGTCTTTGGTCTTGACTCTCACTCTCAGATCATAGAGAAAAAAAAGGAGGTGTTTGCATCTTGAGGATTTGTACCCACCTACGTCATCAATGTAAACAAGACGCTCGTTGAGGGTTATGTTGACGCTGTAAAAACGGACCATAATGTCCGATTTTTTTACTTAAATCAACTCTTTATTTAATTTCAAGCACTTTTTATAGAATGACTTTTTCCCTTAAATTACACCATTTCCAAGAAAATCGACAGGATAAAAACGTCGCTGTACCCAATGACGTCATCAAAGCTATAGATACTCTATGAAAAATTCCAAGATGCCCGAAATGCAAACACCTCCTTTTTTTTCTCTATGCTCTCAGATTATTGTCTTGACTCTCAGTACAAGACTCTAATCAGGATGGATGAGTCGAGGTTCGGGGGAAGGATCCTCTGAGTTGACTAGGATCCTACGCGAGAATGCGCTGCAATCACCCGCTCACAACAGAACGGCGTCCTATAGAACTCGTCCCTGCCACCTACGTCATCAATGTAAACAAGACGCTCGTTGAGGGTTATGTTGACGCTGTAAAAACGGACCATAATGTCCGATTTTTTTACTTAAATCAACTCTTTATTTAATTTCAAGCACTTTTTATAGAATGACTTTTTCCCTTAAATTACACCATTTCCAAGAAAATCGACAGGATAAAAACGTCGCTGTACCCAATGACGTCATCAAAGCTATAGATACTCTATGAAAAATTCCAAGATGCCCGAAATGCAAACACCTCCTTTTTTTTCTCTATGCTCTCAGATTATTGTCTTGACTCTCAGTACAAGACTCTAATCAGAATTGGATTTTTTTTTAGGCCACTTTCAGCCCAATCCTGGCCCAACCAAAAGTGAGTTGTCGTAACTCTGGGTATAAGGGGACTCTACTCTCTAGTTTCCAAAAATGCAACAAGAATTACGGATTGCTGAACAAGCTCTTAGCTCATTGTTCATTTTGGAGGTTATGTTTGTTTGTTTAGGCACATTTCGACTTTCGAGATATCGAACCAACAATATCGCTCCGTGACGTCACCACTAAATTCGTCTATCAGGGATTATTTCATTATTTCAAAATTACTTCAAATGCAAACTTAAAGTTTTAACACTTTAATTGGGCGTTTTAAAGCAGTTTTATAACGTGTGCTAAAACTTGGGGAAAAGTGCGAAGATGTTTAGTGGCGAATTGCTGATTTTTCTCAAAATCGTTTGAGAGCCCTGAATATATGTAATGTAAACAACTAATATCTGATCAATCACGATTGTTATCACTACACTACTTTCACGATACTTTTTCGACTTTGTTTCGATTTCAGCACATTTTCTGAAATTTCTGTCCGGTAGCTAGCTTCCTCGTCTCTCGTGACGAAATCATGGGCATCTGGAACATTTTATGTCCCTGTCTTGGTTCTTCAGACTCGTCAGAATCTGAGTACATCACACCGAGCATAGTAAGATTTTTTTGTAACTGTTCTCAGCAAATATCTTATTTTGTATCCATTGATGAATTGCCCTGTTCGAATCTAGGCCCAATCTTGTTGGTTTACAACCGACCGCAAGTTGTAAAACCTTACCTCCAAATCCGACTTAGAGTAGGGAAAACTCTATTCTCACTACCAAAGACAAGACAAAACTATATACTATTCTAGTTGTCATTAGCTCGCTGTGCGAGCTGTCGTGCCTAACCAGGGAGTACCCCTGGGCACCCTGGTTCCTCACCATGGATGAACTTGTGACTTGCTCTGTGAACCGCCTCTCATAGCTACTAACAGTAATAACGAAAATAATGAGAAGACAACATCTTCACCACTTTGACCACAGCCGCCATCTCTGATTTTGGAATTTTGAAGATCTGACCAAAAATTCGAGTTTCTCGTTGAAAAACTTTTCAAGTGATGATTTTCACAAAATTCCGTCAAAAAATACCCTCTGATACCTGAAATTACACCTACAACTTTGGTGCTGCTGCCGGCTGCTGTAACGCCACATGACATGTTTGAACCCTAGTCCAATGAGACTGAACACAACTTATTGTCAATACATATATTTTTTTGGCCATAATGGAGGGAATATTTCTCGCTATCCTGAGAGTCCACCTCTACATCAATGCAAACTCTCCACGCAAAGATAGGGAGCAAATACATTGACAGGGCTGCCACTTTATTCGAGGACTCTAAAACTGAAAACATGGCAACCCTGCTAATGCATTTGCTCCCTATCTTTGCATGGAGAGTTTGTACTCATGTAGAGGTGGACTCTCAGGATAGCGTGGAATATCCCCTACATTTTGGCCTCAACTTATTGAGAGCTTTTTATGAGCTTGGGAGTTGATCTCAGAGAAAACCAGTGGCACCATCGTGTTTCTCGCAAACTTCTACAGAAGAATCAATAGTCAAATCGCAAATTCCTCACACATGCAACATCCCCATTATTCATATTTATCGTCCACAAAGACCCCCCCCCCCTCATCACCTTTTTTGGGTTAAAATGTGATCGGCGCTGAGGATCACTTCTAGATAGGTTCGATGTTGCATTTTCTGGGAAAAGTTGACCACTTCTCTGACCGATTTGTCCCAAAAACAAGGAATATTCTGAAAAGAAAGAAGGCCCTGGTGATGCTTTGATATAATATCCTACCTGAAGATGCGTCTCAAAAACTAGAATGTGAACAAGAAAAATTCTTTTAGTTTGATTCATTTTTAACAGTTGCAATGAATGTTAATTCTCAATGTACCATATTAATATCCTTCTACAGCAGATTAGAGTATCAATTATGTAAATGTTCTTGCATGAAGTAAATGAAGATATTCATCTGGTCCTTGGTTTCTGCCTTCGCCTACTCTGCCTCAGCCCAATTCTAAAGGGAAGGGGGAGTTTTTAAAATGCCGTGATCAACAGCATTCTTTGTGGTAGATTTTGTCAGCGTATTTTATGTATATTTATTTTTTGCTGCAAGAGGAAGTAAATATCTATGTTGATTTTTTTAATTGACTCGAGTCCGGAACTTTTAGCGGGGACGTTGAAAGACTTCAGCCTGCTGAATGTGAGAAACTACCTCGTAGAATTTCAAAAGCTCAATGTCAGTAAATTTTCTTTGTTTCGTGTAAGTTTAGTTTTTACAATAACTACATCGCTAGAATAACGATCAGCTAGTGAATAGCCATTAGATAAGTCTCTAGATATTTCGGAGCTCTAGCATTGGTCATCCATTTGAGGAGCATAGTTCTCTTTTGGAGGGAAGGTTTTCCTGGGTAGTAATTTCTAGGAAATTATCCTTTCAGGAAGAACGGAGACAGCAGATGGAGGCAGCTGCATTAAAAAGAGCCCAAGATCAACAAAGTCGAGGCATTAAAGACCCCGATAAAGTGCAGAGAATGAATGAGAAGGCTGCTCAAGCTGATAGACGACTTGAAGAAGCCCAAAAAAACTATCAAGGTTCCCTAGGAGGTGGTCTTAAAGTGAGTTTTTAGAACCGACCTTCTTTGTTTTTTCACCCTTACTATCTATACTATAAGCTCCGAGACCTCCTAATTTCGCGAAACTGGTAACGCTTAGTTCCAGCGTTCTACCGGGCCGATTTTCATGATTTTTGCGGCTATCAACGAGCAATTGCCTCTAGATAAGCCAACTCTTTTCAGATTTTCAAAATATGGCCCAGGCTTTTTTATATTAGGTGGTAAAGTTGCGAATTCTCCCGTTTAAACAATGTAAATTTATACTTTTTGTCATAGTTCGTTTGAGCGTTCTACCGGGCCGATTTCCATGATTTTTGCGTAAATCGACGGGTAATTGGCCCTAGATGAGCCCGCTCTATTCAGATTTTGGAAATAGGACCCAGGTTTTTTTACAATCACGTCATAAAAGTGAGTGAATTTTCAGAATGCTCCGAGACCGCTGCCGCTATGCGCGGGAGGATGCGCAGTGGTCGAAGAGGTTGCGCAGTAGCTGGGTAGCCTGCGCATCAGCTCTACACTTATCTATACAAGATTCGCACCTGTTTCCTCAATACGAGCGGTGGCCGAGTCGTCAAAGACGTCGGCAGTGTCCACTATATTCATTGTGTGGGTTCGGTTCCCGGCTCCTAAAATTCTTAATTATTACCTGATAATCAATGTTCGTTGTTTTACTGCAATATTTCATCAAGTAGTCATTACAAAACGCGTCCTTTAGACTTCAAAAAAAAATGTTGTTTCTTTATCCATCAAAACCAAAAATTATCTCATTCTAAAAGTAAAGTATACCTCATATCGTAATTTTTTAGGGGAAAAATAAAACTAACACCGATAGGAGGGTAAAAATAGGGCCGCGAAGCGGCCCATTGATGGCGGGGAGCGCCCTCAGGGGTTGGGCCGCGTAGCGGCCAGGGGGCGTAGCCCCCTAGTTTCCTCTAGCCTCTCGCAAGTTCTCCAAGGAAAAAGTTCAATTTGGTTACGCGTATATAGTTCGTTTCGAAAATTTTAGTTCAGCAACGAAAAACACAAAGTTATAATCGACCTAAACAGACGATAGCAAAAGAATGACGAGTACGTGCTTCACGTGCACTTCAAACCGACCAAATTTGGCCATCGTTGTCGGGTTTTTTTAATAATTTGCTCGCGCCTTTTGGGGTGGTGCAATGATCTTCAGAATACGCAATGATTCGGCGGAATTATTCACGACAGACAATTTTCCAGCCAACCCAAGTTCTTTCTGTTCTTTGTAAGTTCTGCTGTTCCAAGCTCTCCAATCGCCCACCAATGACATCCCGTATGATATGAATTATTCCATCAAAAGCAACTCTCACATTTGCTGCATAGAGTCAAGTTACAAATATTCCTCTTATAAACTGAATTAACTATATAATTCCCTTTAAAGAACCAAAATTTTAAAAAGAAGAAATATTGGAATGCGAACTTTAATCTACAATAAAGCTCTTAATTTGATTTGACTCAGATTTACAAGTAAAATAATGCTGCGCCTTTGAAGATTTTTTTTCTTCCTGATATCTTACTAACAAGGGGAGTCTACGAAGTGACATCCTGGGATTGGGTTCATTTTGCTTGTACATGAGGAAGAGACAAATCTAAGGTTGACATATTTTTTTTTAGCCGCCACTTCCCAACCGTTCTCGAGATATCGATTTTTAAAGTTACAATTTTTGCACGTTTCTGCGCTGAGTTCCGGCGAGTCAACTGAGCGCCGCACACTGTGGTATTGGACCTGAAAAGCTGGCCAAAACTATTTATCACCAGATATCGCCGAGTTTTAAAAATATTTTACAATCAGTGCTTCTTCCTAAGTGATAATATGCACAATTTAACCACCTAACACATCATATGACAATTTGCGGAGAGTTTAAAGAGGGTATACAAGAAGCCCTCCAAAAAGCCTTTAAAAGGACGCAAAGTATCTAACTAAAGCGGTGCATTTAGACGAGTTTCTCCTTCACCTATGGTCTACTTTTCGAAATAAGGACTTTCTATTACCTCATTAATGGTTTTTCTTTAAAAACAGCGTAAGTCACTTCAAAATTTTTGACAAAACAGCCGATCTCTCACATTGAGGAGTAATTGTACATTTCTCAAAAAAATTAATATGAATCATTCTAGATATTAGATTTTTGACAGTTTTGAATCAAAATTAGTCCTAATATAAAAGTGCCGGGACCTCCATATGATGATTTGAGGATAAATTATAAGATGAAAATGAGTTTTATCATAATAAGAACCATTGTAAGGACAGAAAGCACCTGTGAAAAAGATTCATTTTGATGGGTTCCTTCCTGACCCATGGTCCCACATCTCAAAGTGAGGCACTTCACTAAGAAATTTGTAAGAAAACCACATATCTCACTTTTACGAGGCTTCAAATGTGCCTCACAGCGTAATTTCATGGTGCCAGAGGGCCACTTTTAAAGCCCCATCCCCGGGGCCGCATGGACTCAAATTTGTCTGTCAAAGTAAATCATGGCATAAATATGTCTATACTCAAGGATAATGCACGAAGAGATCGTTAGATAACGGATTAAACACTTTTGCAAGACTTTAAAGTGACCCTCCCATCCGCTTTCAAATTATTTTTTTTTAATCCCTCTTTCGAGGGCGTAGGGGCCTAAAAAACAGTTTGGGTGACCAAATATCACCCAATTGGTACTAAATGGGTCAGAGCTGTTGGAAAAATACAATTTCAGTCGTTATATCGACATAAATTTTCCCATTCATTTTTGTGAAAATCGCTCAAAAGTCCATCTTTAAAGTAAAAAATTTCAATTTCCTCAGTTTTCCTCAGTCTGTCAGCCCTGAATCCTGAAAATACCCACTTCGGACTAAAACATCCCGCCTCAAACTGCTTGAGAACAGTTGAGAGAAAAAAGATATCGGCCTCTGAATTTCGAAAAAAACGTTTACTTTTACATCACTTTTCAACCTCCTGTGAAAATCACTAAAAAAAGAAATTTCAAAAATACTGTGGTTAGTTGTGTAGAATATACCCCTAAAAATGTGTTGCATATCGCCGAACTTCCCTCCTATGATCGCACAGTTGAAGTAAACTGATCGACGAGTAGCGCGCCGAAACATATCAAAATAATCGCTGAGAAATAGGTAACTTCGTGGTCTCTTCGCGGGAAATTGAGCCACTCGAGAAATGGTACATACATGTCCACCAGGGTAAAAAACAGTGCAGATTTCGAATATCACATTGGTTTTCCACTAAAAAAAAATTTAAAATTGAGGTTTTGGCCAGGTTTTTCGGTCAAATACCACAGTGTGCGCCGGCAAGCTGCACGAAGCGCGTTTCTTATCAGCGCTGCTGACCGGCTAAACTTATCAATTGTTCCGTGGCCGAGTGGTAGAGTGTTCGCCTACTGTTCCATCGATCGCGGGTTCGAGTCCGGCTTCGTACCGTAGCTTTTGGGATCCGCCGCAATGCGTTTTTACAAGTTTTCTTTATTTTTATCACACACCAAGGGGTCCGCCCCCTGGCCGCTACGCGGCCCAACCCCCGGGGCGAAAAGGCCCGCTTCGGGGCAAGCGAAATCATCGAAATCGACCGTTGCCGGTTGCAAATTCAGAGTAAGGATAAAGTCATTAAGAATATTGTGTGGTGGGAAATTTTTATTTGAAACATCATTTTATCATTCAATTCAAATTATTTACCCAGTAACCGTCAACGGTTGATTTCGATGATTTCGCTTGCCGCAGAGCGAGCCTTGCGGCCTTGCGAAGCGGACCGCGTAGCGGCCATGGGGGCGGACCTCTTGGTGTGTGATAAAAATGAAGAAAACTTGTAAAAACGCATTGCGGCGGATCCCAAAAGCTACGGTACGAAGCGGGACTCGAACCCGCGATCGATGGAACGGTAGGCGAACACTCTACCATTCGGCCACGGAACAGTTGATTAGCATAGACGGTCTGCAGCGCTGATAAGAAACGCGCTTCGTGCAGCTTGCCGGCGCGCTCAGTTGACTCGCCGAAACTCCGCGCGGAAACGTGCAAAAATCGTAACTTTAAAAATCGATATCTCGAGAACGGTTGGGAGGTGGCGGCTAATAAAAAATACGTCAACCTTACATTTGTCTCTTCCTCATGTACAAGCAAAATGAACCCAATCCCAGGATGTCACTTCGTAGACTCCCCTTGTAAGACTTCTTCCTGAACGGATTTGCTCCTAGCTGATATTGCATATTCTTTTTTCGTATATATCTATGAACTGTGTCATACAGGGTGTTCCAAAAGTCCAGCCCCCCCCCCCCCCCCTAAATTNCCTCTAAATTTTGAACGGTTCGAGATAGAAAAATGAAACTTTGGGAATGTTCCTATCTCAAAGGGGACCATCTTTTGGGGGGTAAAAATTTTGGTCCCCCCTCAGAGGAGGGGCGGGGGGCCCCCAACTTTTTTTTTCAAATGGCAACCCCTATCTTGTGATACCTCATTCGAAAGAGCATAAAAAACTGAGAAAGTTGGCGCAAACCGCAGATCAATATCTTAATTTTTGACCGAATTATGATAGGTCAAAGGTCAAAGACTTATTTTCAGAAAATCATAACTCCGGCTCAAATTATCGTGAAGAAAAAAATGAAACGGGAAAATTTACCAAATCGTGTTCGCTTTCAAGTAAAAAGTGCAGAAATCACTTTGAACTAATTTTAAGGGGGAGTTCGGACCCTCCAATACGTCAATTCATGGGTCATTCAATTTTCCCGCAAAATAAGCCGATTTCCCCTAGATTTGGCTCCACATTATCTCAGTAGGGTCAAAATCAATCCAACATTACGTTTTTTTTTTTTTTTTTTTTTTTTTTTTTTTTTTTTTTTTTTTTTTTTTTTTTTTTTTNTTTTTTTTTTTTTTTTTTTTTTTTTTTTAAATAATTTATTTCTGAAATTCAAAACATAAAATTAACAGAGATAAACGAATGTATGCAGTTAGCCTATATAGCGTTCGTGGAAAACAAAATACATGATTATTTGGCAGCAATGAATGAAAAAACTGACTTAATCTAGTAGATTAAAGCGAACACAATTTGATAAATTTTCCCGTTTCATATTTTTTTTTTTACGATAATATGAACCAGAGTTATGATTATTTGAAAATAGGTCAAATTTGACCTTCCACCTATCATAACTCGGTCAACAATTGAAATATTGATTTGCGGTTTGACCCCCCCCCCCCCAAAAAAAAAAAAAAAAAAAANAAAGATAAGAACATTCAGTCCCTTTAAGATAAGACCCAGATAAGCCCCTTTGAGATAGGAACATTCCCAAAGTTTCATTTTTCCATCTCGAATCGTTCAAAAGTTAGAGGGGGGGGAGGGGGCTGGACTTTTGGAACACCCTGTATGTTCTCTCCTCGTGAAAGAAAACGTCCTTTTTACTGTGGGGAAGATGATATATTACAACCGTAAAGTTGTTAATGTGTATGCAGCGTGTCAATTCGTCCCTGCTGGGGCCGGCATCTTGATACTCATATTTCTGTTCTTTTTCACCAATGTCTTGAATGTCATGTTAACTTATTGTTGTCTTTGCCTTTCGCGTTTTATTCCGTAATTCTAGTCCATTATGTAGATATCTATCAGCCATCTTTAGTAGAATCCTCCTCGAAAGGTTCAACAATTTCACATGTAGATCGTTGTCTCGTCCTACTGTTCATATCATCCATGCCAATGAGTCAGTTAAGTCATTTTTTATTATGTCATACAAAAGTAGTGAGTGGCCGAAGCTTACAGTTTTTTCCAAATATTTTTGAGGACTGCAACCGAAAGAAAAGTTGATTTGAAAGTGCCAAAAACAGGGTCGCCTAAAACAGGGTTTGAACCGCGCGCTCGTAGGTTTCAAATGTGCCCATCACGATCAGTATGGTGGCGGAATCCATACTGGAAGACTACACGGCTGCGTCTTGTTGGCGGTGTGTTATTGTCGGTCAATTGGAGGTTATGTAGGTTCATTCGTTTGTGATTTTAGCCAATTGTTTATAATATCTGGGAGCTTTTCAATCAGAATGCGTTACGGTTTTATATAGGATATGAAACATTCTTAGAAAACTCACTTAACCTCAAACGAGAAATCTTAATGTCAACAGAGACAGCGTGGCGGTAGTAAGTAGGTTGGCTTCGCCGCCGCCATCTTCTCATCTACGAAGCGTAGATGAGAAGATTGATGGCGGTACGATCGAAACGGTTCAAACATGTTTTTGAGGACCCCTAAAAAGGAAGCTTTATATCCCCGTGGCGACAAATTTTCGTGAAATTGTACTGTGCGCATCGTCATTCTCGTACCGAAAACTGTACGAATCGGCTATTTGTCGGTAAATCCCTCCCGAGCTTAACTGACTCCATTACTTCCCTACCAGCTCTAGCGTTCATGATCTAATCATTCAGCACGGTGCGCCTGAACTCACTTTAAATGCGACTTTGTTGTACATCAAAAATTCAAGTTGGAGGTTGTAGTGGGGTACTCCCTGATGGGTTTTTGGGCAATTTCGAAGTAGGTTGTCGGAGCTCTTCGAAAAATAATCGCATTTTTGTGGTTTTTTAGGGGTAAAATAGCAAAATTGGCCTCGGGGCGACAAATTAAACCCCCTCTCCCTCATCCTTGCCTTGACCGATCTGAATTTTTAGTATGTTTTTACCTGGTATAAGATGGGACTTTTCTGAAATTTTCATGCCGATACAAATTTTTTTGCTCCCGCGGCAGCGTTGCAAAGTTGCGGACTCCAAAATATCGAATTTAATGATAAAATGAAGGTTTCGGAGCGTGATTTCCATTCAAAATCAAAAATTCAAATTGTAAGTTGTAGTAGGGTACTGCCTGATGGGGTTTTGGCCAATTTCGAAGTAGAGTGTTTGAGATTTTTGAAAAATAATCGAATTTTTGCGGTTTTTTAAGGGTAAAATAGCACACTGAGCACGGGGCGGCAAGTTAAACCTTTTCTCTCTCATCCTTGCCGTGACTGATCTGAACTTTTAGTATGTATTAACCTGGTATAAGATGTGACTTTTCTGAAATTTTCATGCCCATACAAAATTTTTTGCCCCCCGCGGCAGCGTTGCCAAGTTGCGGACTCAAAAATATCGAATTTGATGATAAAATGAAGGTTTCGAGGTGTGATTTCCTCCAAAATTTCACGAAAAATGTGCAATCTGAGAGTTTTCGATAAGAAAAGGCATATTTGAACAATTTAGAGTTGCAGTGTTGCCAGCTTTCGATTTAAAATTCGTCAAAATGACCCAAATCGCGTTGCAACCTCAAGCGCTGGATTTTTATTTCGTTCAGAATTGGTTATTATGGTTCTTCTGTACTCTATGCATTTAGGTACCGTGAAAATTATGCCATTACTTACTTGATGGGTGCAGCTAACTCAAAAAGAGAGGCCGGATAAAGCGATGAGTCGGGGGAAAACGAGCGGTTCGGGTTGACAGAAAGTTCTTAAATATACTCCATCACCAGAAAGTAGAATTTGAGAACTTTCTCCCACCCCCCAAACCTTATCCCTGTTGCAGTCAATCCTTTGAACATCTTATCTGAAATTTTGCCCCCGATTTTTTTCGCAAAAAAATTTGTATCGGCATGAAAATTTCAGAAAAGTCCCATCTTATACCAGGTAAAAACATACTAAAAATTCAGATCGGTCAAGGCAAGGATGAGGGAGAGGGGGTTTAATTTGTCGCCCTGAGGCCAATTTTGCTATTTTACCCCTAAAAAACCACAAAAATGCGATTATTTTTCGAAGAGCTCCGACAACCTATTTCGAAATTGCCCAAAAACCCATCAGGGAGTACCCCACTACAACCTCCAACTTGAATTTTTGATGTACAACAAAGTCGCATTTAAAGTGAGTTCAGGCGCATCGTGTCAGGTTTTCAAAGCATTGATCAAAGGGTGTAACACACCTCATGACAGATCCTAAGTATAAATGAAATCATACTTAAAATTATTTTTCGCTAGACCAGGTTAAGTAAGATTAGTTTAAGCATTTCTACTCTTAAGGTTTCACTCGTGCCTCTCCTTTTATCTGTCTCTTGGCTCTTCATGGTTGATGGTCTAACTTTATCTCTTTCGAATCATCATTGTCACCGCTTAATATCCGTGTTTTATCTCTCTCTTTCAGTGGCAAATGGACTGAAAACCCAAGACTGTAACATCCCTAGAACCGTTCTTCTAAAGTTTTGAAGCTTATCTGGCGGAACTCTGGCTCAGATTCATGTAATTTCAAGCAAAGCAGACTCAAGACTCTTTGATTTGTAAATAGAGCATTCTCATTTCTTATATTGCCTTTAAAATACATTTTCCAGGCGAAGTGTTTGAAGCACTGATGTATATCTATTTGATACTATACTATCACAGGATTTTTCATAAACTGAGTTACGTAGTGCAGTGGTATCCTAAAACAAGGATAATCTATTTATTCATCTAATTAAGTTCAACAGTTCGCAAGAAACATTATGTTGCCAATTGATGACCGAAGCCGAAAAATTCAAATCTACACTGCAACATCTATGTTGAGAATAATATTATTCTTAACTTTTATGAAGCCTTATTTACAACAGCAACTGATAGACTGAGATTGTATTAAAAATTGGACGAGTCAGGTGAGGCTTTATTTACAACAGCAACTGCTATACTGAGATTGTATTAACAATTGAACGAGTCAGATGAGGCCGTCATTATGTTGATACCGATTCTATAGTGGGAGAGGGATGTCTACAAGCTAGTGTCCTGGGACCAGTAGTAGTATGGCTAATCTTACTTCACGAATCGTCAAGAACTAACTCCGGAGACAAAGTTCACGTGTTAGCATATATCGATGACCTGGTGATTCTGGTTGGAGAATCCAGTAGGGCGGCCCTCGAAAAGAAGCTTAATGAAATAATACTAATGATAGACCTGAAAGAATGGTTAGGAAAGGCTAAACTGGAATGAGGTACAGAGAAGACAAAAAGAGTGTTACTGAAGGGTGCCGTACTGCAAGAAATAGACGCAATAAGACACAAAAACTTATGGCGGCTTGGATTGGAAAAGGGAGAACAAGCATGGATCGGTGCGCAGAAGTAACTTATCTCAGGGTGACTATAGACCAATCTTGATCTTTGAGAACCATGTTAAAAAAACCGTGAACAAAGTCACCACTGGCATGCCTAAAATGGACACAGTTAACGAAGCAACGTAGGGAGTGGGCTTCAAAAAGATAAATGTTCTATACGAATGGGTGTTTTTCCTAATAATCATGTAAGGAGCTTGCATTTGTCATAAAATCCAAATGCAAGTTCCTTACATGATTGTTGGAAAAACACTCCTTCGTATACGAGTGGTATCTCAAAAGTAAGGTCCCTCTTTATTATTTTTCAAGTGAATAAAATCACATAATTTCCAAAATTATTACATCGTTCTGAAGCTAATATCCTAGTCTATTTTTTAATACAATCACCATTTCGATCGGATATTCGTCAAATCACCATTTTTCGTCCACTTTTGGAGTCGTGGCTGCAGTTTTCCTAACCCTTGTCGTAGTGCTCAACCGCCACCTCTCTCTTCCTGTTGTCACCGTCAGGGTGACAAAGTGATACGGTTTTTTATTTTAAAGGGCGTAAAACCCATTGACATTCATCGCCAGCTAGTATATGTTATAGGTATAGTAAAAAACGCGCAAACGGTGTCGAAAATTCGCAGGAGATTGCACCGACTGTCATGACGAAGAAAAAAGCGGCCGGCCGTTCTTTTCTGACGAGACAATTGCGAAGATTGAAGCAGCAATGCTTGAAGATCGAAGGGTCTTGATCGAGGAGCTTGCTTTTTCGTTTCTCTTTAGAAGTCATCAAATTACGGATCTTTAGACCAAACATCCTGTTCGTTTGGCCTTATCTGTAGCCGGAAAGTCGCGAACGGCCAATTGAGGCGCGGTAACCACCTTCCGGCGCGCCCCTTAGGCCGCCCAGTGAACTCCAGCCTCTTGCTGCCGACGTAGGGTTGAGAATAGGTCATCCCAGCCGGAAATCGATGAGTTACGAATCTTTGGGCGAAAATGTTGGCCATTTTATCGTATCTCTGAGCCTTTGGCTTTAAGCTACGATTTTCGGGGGAAAGTTAAATCTCCTTACCGGGCGCATCCGTGAATTCGGCTCCTTTTAGCATTTTCAGGCAGACAGCTTGGCACACATGTCTGCTTCTCTTCTTTTCGCTTTTTTATCGAAAGTATTTGTCATGTTAGGGGAAAATTTACAAAACCATCGCCGAAGAGTTGCTTTCAACCGTTCAGGGCACACGGTAGCCGTGTGTTGTTCGCGTTGCGATCTCATTCTCGTCTTCAGTCCTTTCGTAGAACTGGAGAGTTAGGATCATAGTTTTAGTTTTCAAATTCTACTCTCTCGAGAAAAAAATATTTAACTCAAGAGACGTGCAAGAAAGAGAGGAGGGGGATCATAACTGGCGATGATTTGTTTCGTACAGTGTATGGATCGTTACGAATATTTAAAGCCCCTCAGAAATAATTTAATTCGTACTTGTGGACACTTTAGTCCATTCAAATCAAATTATATGATGAACCTTGTGCTACCGCTGATTGTGCTAAAGACGAGGTTCATGATAGAAATCCAAAAATGTTGAGGTATACTTGAAATGAGTGGATTTGCTTAAAATGCACACTTCTGCGCTAGACGTATTTCTGTTATTGCTTTTAAATATTACTGCGAGGAAAATTTATAGAGCTCTGACATAAAGGAGAGAACAGTCGGAGAAACAGCGTCTTTACTAGTTTTAGAACTCAGAGAAACTGTCACTGGACATAAAGTAACTTCAGTATGGAAGATTATTAAGTGTCATGTACTTGTTCCTACTGAAAGTAGTGCATTGAAAGAAATGTCAATTCACTGCAATACCTTGTCTTTACTATACGCATGTCTCTCAGTTGGTTTCTTTTCTTTCTTTTGTTCATAGGTAATCGTAGTATTAAAATAAAATGACCCCAACTCTTCAGTTCTATGAAAGGACTGAAGACGAGAATGAGATCGCAACGCAAATTAAATCTCCGGCTACCCCGGGTCCTGAAGGGTTGAAAGCATCTCTTCGGCATTAGTTTGGTAAATTTTCCCCTAAGAAGACTAATACTTTCGATAAAAAAAACGAAAAGAAGAGAAGCAGAGATATGTGCCAAGTTGTCTGTATGTATAAGAAATATGTAAGCTTCAGGAACGGCCAGCAATGCTATAAGGGGCCGATTTACGGATGCGCCCGGTAAGCAGATTTACCTTTCCCCCGAAAATAATAATTTAAGGCCAAAGGCTTAGAGATGCGGTAAAATGGGCAAAACTTTCGTTCGAAGACTTGGAACTCATCGATTTCCAGCTAGGATGACCTATTCACAACCCTATGTCGGCAGCAAGAGGCTCAAGTTCACTGCGCGCCTCAATTGGCCGTTCGCGACCTTCCGGCTACAGATACGGCCAAACGGCCGAGATTTTGGGCCCAAAGAACCGTAGTTTAGATGATTTCTTTAGAGAAACGACACAATTTTCGTCAAAATACTAAATATTTATGATCTCTGTAGTGCGCTGGGGTGCCACTAAAAAAAGAAAGAAAGAAAGAAAAAAAAAAAATTCCTTAATTTTACTTTGCATAGCCTGTACACCACCTGCATTGCATAGACCTGGGGAGCTTAACTTTTCTCAAATTTCAGAAATTGGGGCATCCTATCCTTGGCTCTTTGCCTTTTGCACCCACCTCTTCGAGATAGGGGTGTTTAAACGAATTCTTGCCGGAACACTTTCGATATCGTCTCTTATTGAAACTGGCGCAGTAGTCCAGGCGCCTGGTAGCTAAAAATGAGGCTACCTGGAATTTTGGGTACACAGCGATTTTTTCGGCTAACTTTATGTTTTTTGGGTCGCTGAATCTGAATCTGAAGTTTCCTACCGCGTATCTGGTGAGCATTTTCCGCCATTTTGAAAAAATGGCCTAAAAAGGCCTTTTTTGCGGTTTTTTTGTGTAGCGGCTACGCATGAGAAAAAATCCCGGATTTAGCTAATGTTTCGAATAGCTGACAAAATTTGAAAGAAAATGGTGTACGCATATGCTAGGTTTGCTTAAAAATTGAGGAAGATAAAGCATCGTGAACATCGCGCCCATTCACGTTTTCGCGGCGCACCCGTTAACGCGTGATCCGGCTCGCCGCGGTCAGCTAAGTTCCGAAGCGTTCCAAAGTTCCGAGATCCGAGGTTCCTCAATTTTTGAGCAAACCTAGCATATTCATATACCATTTTCTTCCAAATTTTGTCAGCTATTCAAAACAGTAGGTAAATCCGGGATTTTTTCTCGTGCGTAGCCGCTATGTAAAAGAAGATTCGGATTCAGCGACCCAAAAAACGTAGAATGAGCCAAAAAATCGCTGTGTACCCAAAATTCCAGGCAGACGTACCAGGCGCCTGGACTACAGTACCGACAGTGGCGATGATATCGACAACAGCCGGCCTTATCGGATTTTTGAGAGCTCGCTCTCAATGCATTGTTGCCCCGTGTGTTTGTCAGATTGCCTGGCGCGGTGGCGCGTAGAATAGATGTACAAATGGCAACAGCTTATTTTCGTCAGCTCCGAAAACTCTGATCGCTATCGACATGAGCGCTTTTATCGTAACTTTTTCTTAACAGAACTGTTTCGGTAGCTTACCGAAAACCGATAGAACAGCCCTACTTCGAGTGGTCTAGTCTAAAGGTTCTCGTTTTGTCCTATACTTGCAATTTTATTCTACCTGTAACGGAAGCCTTGGTGTTACACTCCCCTTAAGTTCAAAAATAGAATTATAATATTTCTGAGGCTTCTGCGTCCCATAAATACGCATAAAAATTCTTTCCTACCGCTGAAATTCAAGAAAAGGAAGTAGTAGAAAGACTTCTAGAACGAAAACAAATATTGAAGAGGAATGCCTAATAATTACTTTCTCAACTGTATAGTACGATACAGAGGGTACGGCTTATTTGGAGAAAGTCTGAAATGTTATGACGGCACGTCTTCAATCGGTTCGATTTTATGAAAGAGCATACCAAAGAAAATTTCAGCACGAAATTCGAAAATTTAGAGGTCACTTGAAGGCCTCAAAATTTACGATTTTGGCCAAATTTCGTAAAATTTCTTCCATATTGACGAATCTTCAGGACAATAAGAATGAAAAAGAGTCAGCATTTTTCTCATCCGTCATGGTTTATTCAACTCCAAGTCGACAAATGTCCCCACTCTATGATCCCTGAGTCACAAAAATGACCTGGGTAGGAACCTGCAAAAGCCGTCCGTCCCGCACTGTTAGCCGGATACTGGAGTCGCGTCACCGCGTCGATTTCGCAGGCAGCCGCTCGCTACTCCTCGCTATAATCCGTTGTCTACGACCCGA